TAGATATCTCTAAATTTTCTAATATCTTTTGAAAATATTTAACATGTGTTGGAGTCATTTCTTTTCTTTTGCATTTCTCTTCATATTTTTCAAAGGTATTTAGGATCTATGAGCTTTGCTTATCCGGTTCAGTATTTCTAAGAGTTGTATTTATATTTACTTTAGTGATATAGACGTCGCAATTAAATTCAGAATCATTAAAAATAAGTTTTGGTATATCATTTTTAATGATTAATCCTGTTTCCTCTTCTGTTTCTCTAATAACTGCTTCGATCGAATACTCATTTTCTTCAATTTTTCCACCAGGAACTTGCCAAAAGTTATACATTTCCTTACATTTGTTGATCCTCTTTAATAGAAATATTCCAACATTATTATAGATAATATTCATCACATAGACTGGATTATGGGGCTTATTAGATTTGTTGTTTTTAGATATAATTGGCTTCCTGCTATCCAGTTGCTTTAAAATCTTTTGAACTTCAAGATTCTTTTTCCTTGTGATCATATGGGATCTTTGCAATAGAAAAGGGGGAAACGGCTGGAAAAAATAAAAATTGAGTTAATGCTAAATCTGAACATATTTTGACTTAAAAATCATATTTGGCATATAAAAGTAAAATTGATTTTTTCCGGCAGTTTCCCCCTTTCTATTACAAAGGTCCCATATGACTGTAATGGTCAACATCATTAAAATTACAAACTAAACATAAAGTGTCATATTCTTGAAAAATGTGCCAATACTCAACTAACTCATCATCATCTGGGAGCTTATTAACAATAATATATTCATCCTCATAATCTTTCTTTTTAAATTCTCTAATTTCTTCTAGTGGATTATTCTATTTTATTTGCTTTTTTAGAGGGTTTGGATTATTTGCACTCTTACCTCCTAAAGGTGCGTCCACTAGTTTAAATGATTGATAAAGGAATTTGTTTGTTAATTTCCTCCTGAGGGTTGCCTGTTATTTTGCTGAGTATTTCTATTCCTATTATTGTAATTACCATTCCCATTTTGTTTGCTATTTTGACTAGACCAACAATTCTTTGCTAAATGACCAGTTTTATTACAGTTATAGCATATCTTTATATTATTATTATTATTATTATTGCTACTATTATTTCTATTATTATTATAACTATTATTATTCCTTTGTCCCATTCTACAATCTCTTGCGATGTGTCCAACTTTGTTAAATTTATGATAAGTCCTTGTATCTCTATTGTTGCTTCTATTATTGCTATTACTATTATTATTTGGCTTATTTTGTTCTTCCAATTTCGACATGAATAGAGCCAATTTGCGATCAATCATATCCTCCATTGATTCATTTCACTGAGAAAGATTTATTGGTAAGGCTTGTTGGAATGTAGTCATACTTGTTCGTGCTGGAACAAATCTACCACTCATACCCTGAAGATAATTTGGTATTATTAAGTACGCAGATAGTTCCATTCCAATTGAATAAGCTGTCTCTAATGCCAAAGCTTTATTTATAGCTTCATCAACTGTCCTGGACAATGAAGATTGAACTGTTACAATGAATTCTGGTCTTAGTCCTTCTATGAACTCTGCTATTTTGTCAACTTCCTGCCTCATCCCTTGTGGATCTAATCTTTTCCATAATTCTGTAATTTGAGTAACATATTCATCAATAGTCTCTCCATTCCTTTGCTTAAGGTTTTGCAACTGATGCTTCCACTGTTGTTTTCTAAAGATACTACAATAATGGTCCTTAAATTGGTGAACAAAGGATCTATTCTGTAACATGTTATTTCTCCAGTATATGATGTTACTTTTACTGAACCATGTGAAGGCTGTTCTTTTTAGATAGTTGGGTAATATATCAAGAATACGATTATTGGTAACTCTATTAGCTTTACAAGCTTGTTCAAAAGCTTCTAACTATTCAATCGGATCTTGATTTCCTCTTTTAAATTCTGGAAAATTCACTAGCCTTGTTTCGTGGGCTACTGAATATGGAGTTACTGTATGTGCTTTCAATAAGTCTCCAAAATTGTATGATTATGTCATTCCCTCCTTTTGGTCTTCTTTGTTCCTCTCTATTATCAGTATTCTCTCTTCTATTGTCAGTTGTGTTTCGATAGATATTTCTTCTCTCTTGAAGATTTTGAATTGGGCTAAAAGTTGTATCTTCAATATTCCACGTTGTATCAAAGGCCCTCTTCATCCTGATCATTTTGATATATGTTATCATATTCTGTAATTGTTAAGTCTCTGTCATCTAGGTTAGTCTATGGATTTGAATCTCTTAATGGATTGTTCTTCTCCTTTTATTCATTATATGATAATATCTAATATGTGGTTTCTCAAGATCACTAGGAACATGTTTTTCAGACAAATATTTTGGATCCCTTTTTATTGTATCCCATGCATTTCGTTTGTCTTCTTCTAAGGTCATTTCCTCATATTTTTGCTTAAATACCTGATCAGAAAGAATATTATTAAGGATTGCTGCCTATTCTCTATGCGGAACAGCTTGATTTTCAGATATCCTTCTATTAGATGTTGAGGTATCTACATTGAATGTATCTCCATCCATTTTTGATGCGTTAGAAGACTTTCGAGATGTTCTTCTAGAAGTTCCTTTTGAATTATTCTTAGAATTAGTTCCTGATTTTACTGATGTCTCAAATTCCCAACAGTCAAATTCTAAGTAACTATGCCAAGCACTTTTTAAATCTGCAAGTGATGATTCTAAAAGTTCCTGAGCAAGTGATTGGTATCTAATCGATTGTATAATTAATTCAAAGTACTTTCCTAATGCTTCTGAGTTTTCTTCTAATGTGAGTGCCTTTTCAATAGCTCTAACAGTTATACTATTAAATTGTTCTCCTTTTATTGCATAAACTATCCAGAAATACCAAAAGTTCTCAAATGCTTCTGAAGGTTGTTCTGTTATCGGATAACACTCAGTACAAGATGGATCTGGATTACTAATTATTTTCTGTTTATTTTCTTGTAAGTGCGCTGTAGTATGTTTGATAATCCTTTAATTATATTCCTTTCTACTTATCATTAACTATTTTGTTATTCACGTATTCAAGTATTTCCTCAATAGTTAGTCTTAACTTATGAAATCTGATAAAATCTTTAATATTATCAATTTCCTTTTGGATACGCTGAATTATCACAAAGGGTACTGGTTTATCTTCACTAATGCTTTCAAGCAAATTCTTCAAGGTTCTCAATTGTAATTCCAATTGCAAAGACTGAGGTGTGTATAAAAGTTTAAGATAAACTCTAACGTTTGACATCAATCAATTCTAATTTACAATTCTTCAATTTCTCTCAATTTCAATTTTGTAATCCACCCAATCCGCACCAAATTTGTTATATGAGTCGATTGTGAAGTCTACTGACTGAAAAGTAAACTTTAATGCGTATAGCAACGTTTTAGGTATCTGAAGGATAACAATTTATGTTAACAATCCTAAAGTCTTGTTGGTGTCAATAGAATTATCAAAGTAAATCACTACAATCAATGTAATTATTTATATGAGAGAGCAATAATGATGGATTGGGTTTTATGATACGAGTTTAACTAATTAAAGTTATAAGGTAAAAGGTTGGTTTATTAATTAGAGAAATTAGGATCAATACTATTCATTAATTTAAATAAGCTCTTGTTCACGAACTTACAAAATTAAAGAATAAACAATAAACTAAATTATATTAAAACTATATTAGAATAACTATCTAATAATCAATATCAAGACTATCTAGCTTGATCTTATTAATTGAGTAATTATCTGACTTGTAATTCATTCAAGGCTGACTGACTATTAACTGACTAACTTATTTTCTAACTATGTCTCTGACTGACTTATATCTCACTGACTTGTTTAATAATTGACTTATTTTCTAACTGACTACTGAAGATACATGAAATTCTTATCCTATTTATACAAAATTTTGGATCTAATTCTATTACTAAATTAAGATAAAGTACAACTTAATAAACTACAGAAACCTTGTAAACATTGTTAACTTAATTAACAATAAATAATATTTGATATATAAAGCTATTAAATATAAAATTTATCTTAGGTTTATATATACTACTAAATAATTATATAAATATTTATATATAGCTTTATATTTTTTAAATTATAGAATTTTTTTTGTTATGTCTTATTTTGCAAGATGTAAATAATATGCAATAATATGTATTGATATTATAAAAGAATTTATCTTTTTTAATTGTATAGTAATACCAGTTTTAAAATCAAATTAATATAAAATTTTATATCAAATTAATATAAATAGTTATTATATAGATGTTATATATAGAAAAGAGAAAACTATCAAAAAAAAAATTTTTATTTTATAAGTTAAATAAGATTTTATTAATAAAATAAATTTAGATTTAATATTTATTCAAAAAAATTTTTTTGAAATTTTCTCTTTTTTACTATAAAATACTTACACAACTAATATTGTATAATAAACATTATCCATCTTATTTTGAATGAACTTAAACATGTCTAAAAATTATATCTGCTTAAATATTCTATAATAATTTGTTTAACAAACATATTTAAATATATTTTTAATCTATCTGAAACAAATTTATATATTCACTAAATATTAAAATCTAAATTACATTTTATTATAATATTACTTTCTATTTTATTAGCATAATATATTATTAGAACTGAATAAAAGTTAATAAATTAAATTTAAAAACATTTTATAATTATATAGAAGTATTAAAAAAAAAAAAGGTTGTAAAATATAATTTTCAAATAAAAAAGATTGTATAATTTAATATTTTAAAAAAATTCTTAATTTTTCTAATAAAATAATATTAAAAAAAAGAAAAAAAAATTTCAACTAAATATAACTTTAAATTTAATTAAAGATTATGTAAATTTTAAATTTAATTATTCTTAATTAATTATTTAATTAATATTATACTAATTTTTTATTTATAATTTCAGATTTGTGTTATCATAACTTTCTTTATTATTATTAAATTCTTTTTATAAAATAACAATTTAGTTTTTTTATTTAGATCTATAAATAATTATAATATTCAATCATTATTTAAAGAAGATTATAAAAATTTTATATACTATTATTTTGATTTATAATTTTGTATTATTATAGATTAATAATTCTAAAGTAAAAAAATTATTTAACTTTTAAATTTTTTTCTTAAATGATCTGATTATTGAATTTTTAGTAGTCAAATTTTAAAATACTATAGTTGAAATAAATACAATAATAAAGATTGCATTTAAAGAGATCCAGTTAACAAAATTTTAATACTTGATAAATAGATAAATGTAAATAATAAACAATTATTAGATTTATTTTTATTAACTATAGAAGGAAGACTTTATGTATAGAAAATATTTAATATTAATTCTTAACATAAAAATTATATTGAAGTAATTAAAAAAATAGAATTAATACTTTCTGAATTAAAAAATAAAAATATTATAGTTTGTATTATTATACAAATAATATATTATACCAATATCTACTTTCTGGGCCTTGCCAATGGTATTTCTATTTTGAATTTTCAGGTAGTTAACATTTAAATTTTTGGTTAAAACTCTTAAAATATTGTGGTGAATATATTTGTTTTTGAACTATCACTTGTTTAGGGTTATTTGTGGCTAAGATAGGTTCTTCTTCATTATCCTCTAATATTATATAATATCATTGCATAGCCAAGTTTTTGTCTTTATATTCATCATTCATCAAGCCTGTGAAAATTGGGATAGGTTGTTGAAACTTATCAAACTGAGGTTTTTCTCAACAAGTCATAGGGACCTGATCTTCTTTTTGATTCCATTAAAAAATAAATTTCTGATAGTCTCAATAAAGTCGTCCATAATATTTTGTCAATCAATCGTTTCCTGCTACAATATAATAGTCGTTAGATTTCGTTATATTGACATCAATAGAAATTTCTACATTGTTAATTTGAATTAGAATATTAGTAACTTTTCCCAATGGTCGTGAGCATGCTTCTTATATATTAATCATAATAATCATTGATGGGCCTTCAATTTTTAGATTTAATTGTTGTAAGAAACTTTTGACATAACACTTCCAGCAGATCCTGAATCTAGGATCAAATAAATAGGGTTGCTATCTACAAAGGCATAATAGTAAACAGCTTCTATAGCCTTAGGTATATCAGCTTTATTTGAGGGATTTAAATAATGACTGATACTCTCACCCTCTAGAGGTACCCTTAGTAGTTTAAAGACTGATTCGATGGATTAGAAGGATTACTAGTAGTGGTAAAGGTATTATTAAAAGAAAACGTTATAGGAGGTTGTGAAGAAAAAAGTGGTGAAAATGGATTTAGAGTATAGTACATAGAACTCCCTTATGACAAACAGTCCGTTGACTTATTTGACCAGATTGTGGTTGACTATTATGGAAATTTGGTGTCAGTTTTGTTGAACATAAGTTTCCCCAATGTCCAAGCTGGTGACAGTGTGGGCAGGGTCCAGTAAGTATGATATTACAATTTTTAGCCATGTGTCCCCTTCGCTTACAAGTAAAATACCTATTCTCATTCTGATATATATTATTCCTATTCTATTGGAAATTATTTCGACTGCCACCTTGATTATTTCGTGTTCTATAATTTTTTGCAATATGTCTAGGTTGGTTGCAATTGTAACATACTTGATTACTATTATTATTACTATTCCTTCAATTAGTATTATTGTGTGCTGGGTGGCTGTGGCCATCATTTCGTGAGTTGATGGTAGTAATAGTTAATAGTTATTTAACTTCCTTCATCAGTTTTTCATTACTTTTCTTGATTAATTGTTGCATGTTAGGAATCTTTTCACATTCTGTTTCTTCATCATGTTGATTCAAATAGGTTTTACTAAGAGAATATCCTAATAGAACGCTATCCTTAAAGAGAACAGCTTCAACAGCTCTAGCTCGATCAATTGCTTCTTCTAAGTCACAAAGTGCAGCAATAGCTACTGTGGTCAAAAACTCAGGTCAAAGTCCTTGTAAGAACTGTTCAATTTTCTCATCCTCTGGTGTGTTATAATCTGGATCAAGTTTGAGGTATAACGATTCAATATCTGAAACATAATCTTCTACAGATTGTCCAGGACGTTGCTTACATCGCTTAAGAGCAAAACGCCATTGGGTCCTCCTATATATTGTGCAATAATGCTTCAAGAAGTGATAAATGAAGAATCAGTGTTTATATTATCGATCACAAGAGTTATCCTAATATCGCAAATTTTTTTTATTTTTAGTTTTGTTATACCAAGCAGTGTATAAAATTTAGACCAAAAGTCATGTGCACAAGTTGTACTAAAAATAGAAAATTAATGCATGTATTATATGGTATTTCCATTTTTATAAATAATTTAAAAAAAAAAAAAAAAAAATTTTTATAAATAATTTATTCAATTTATATATAATTTATCTATTTTTAGTAATTATTTGTACACATTTTATACTGTGTAATATGTGCACATAAAAATTTAATATGCACATGTGCACACTGTGCACATGAATTTTACACACTGATACCAAGTAAGGGTTGATCCTTTTAGAAATGAAGGGACTAATGTAAAGTGTCATTTATCAGAAATTCCATTTGCATCTCCAGCATGGCTATATCTCTCCAACCATTCTTTAGGGTCTTGATCTCCACCCTTAAATGTTGGTAAGTCTACAAACTTAGTTTCTCATGATCCTCAAAATCCAACATTTTTAAAGACAGTCTGAAGGTTTTTTATCATCTGAAAGAAATTTCTTTCGTCATTGTCTTTAGCATTATTGGTATCAAAAGGATCTTTGTCATTACTCTTTGAATCACTTTCTTCAAAATTAGAACTAGAAGAAGATGATGAATTATCATAATAGGAGGGAGAGCGATGGCTCTTTAGTTTATTACAGTCAACTCTTTCTACAACGAATTTTGATATAACGAATTTTACAATACAACGGATTTTTAGTGTCGGACAGATTTTTAAATATAAAAAAACCCTTACTATACCGAATTTAGTAATTAAAAATTCGTACTACGTTTA